CAAAAAAATCCAAACCAACAAAACAGAATCGCTGCAGTCGCTCGGCTCCGCTGTGGTTCGTTGGGGGCTCTGGGGGGGTCACAGCTGGGCTGTGTGCAGCTGCAGGGTGGTGGGTTCTCCACGTGCATCTCCTGGTCCTCCGTGCTGCTCCTGCATCCCAGTGCGTCCGTCCTCCATCCATCCCCATCCTTCATCCCAGTCCTTCCTTCTTCCATCCATCCCTCCATCTCTCAACCCAATCCTTCCATCCTCCATCCATCCTCATCCTTCATCCCAATCCTTCCATCCTCCATCCATCCCCTCCCTCCATCTCTCAACCCGTTGCATCCTCCATCCATCCCCCATCCATCCTCCATCCATCCCCATCCTTCATCCCAATCCATCCCTCTTCCATCCATTCCTCCATCTCTCAACCCAATCCATCCATCCCCATCCTTCATCCCAATCCTTCCTTCTTCCATTCATCCCTCCATCTCTCAACCCAATCCATCCATCCCCCATCCATCCCCAACCTCCATCCATTTTCCATCCATCCCCTCCCTCCATCTCTCATCCCAATCCTTCCATCCTCCATCCATCCCTCACCCACCCCACCCGTCCCTAACCTCCATCCCTCGTCCCAATCCATCCACCTTCCATCCATCTGTCCCTCGTCCCCATCCCTCCATTCTCCATCCTTCCCCCCTCCTGTCCCTCCACCCCGTTGTTCCACCCCCCGTCCATCATCCATTTCTCCGTTGGACTCGATGGCCTCTGTGGTCTTTTCCGACCTTAATGGTTCTATGATTCCATCCCCACATCTTCATCCATCCCTCCATTTCCATTCCACTCAGTCCGTTCCCCTATATCCACCCCATCCCTTATATCCACGCTCTGTATCCACCCCCCATAACCACTCTATTTCCTCCCTGTACCCTTTATCCACCCCATCCCCTATATTCATTCCCTGTATCCATCCCCTAAATCCATCCCCCATATCCACCCTCTGTATCCATCCCCTATAACCACTCCCTCCCCACCATCTCATCCCCTACATCCATCCCTCCATCTTCATCCATCCGTCCCCACCATCCCATCTCCTTCTCATCCCTGATATCGACCCCATTCCATCCCTATATCCATCCCATATATCCATCCCATCCTCATACTCATCCTATCCCCTATATCCATCCCCTATATCCATTCTGTTATCCCTGTATCCATCCCCTATATCCATTCTGTTATCTCTATATCCATCCCATCCCCTATATCCATCCCCTATATCCATTCTGTTATCCCTATATCTATCCCTTATGTCCATCCTATTCCCTGTATCCATCCCCTGTATCCATCCCCTGTATCCATCCCCTGTATCCATCCCCTATATCCATCCCCTATATCCATCCTGTTATCCCTATATCCATCCCCTATATGCACCCCCTATATCCATCCTGTTCCTGTCACCATGTGGCACAGGGGGGCACAGCCCTGTAGGGTTGTCCCACGTCACCTTTGTCCCCTGTGTGATGGTGGGCCTCCCTGTCCCCTGTGGTGGCCCCATATCCCCGTTGGTGGCCCCGGGACCCCCTCGTTGGCCCCATATCCCCGTTGATGGCACAGTGTCCCCATTTCTGTCCCCATGGCGCTGTGTTGGTGATGAAATCCCACAGCCGGAGCTCACGTGGGATGGAGCCGCTGCGTTTTGGGGCCGTCAGCACTTTTGGGGGGCAGCAAAAATGGGAACTGAGTGATTGGGGGGGGGGGGACAGAGCTCAGAGCCCAGTGGGAGCGAGGGGGGATGGGACAGGAATGGGATGGGACAGGAATGGGATGGGAGTGATGCGAGACTTGGGAACCCCCTTTCTCCATTCTGACCCCAACCAGCCCCCCCTGAGCCCCCAGCCCAGCAAGGAGAACTCCAGTGGGATGGAGGAGGGTGGGACGGGGACAGGATGGGGTTGGGATCTGGGATGGGATTTGGGATGGGGATGGGA